AAAAAAAAAAATTAAAAAAAAAAAAAAAGAAACATTTCAAGCTGAGGCAGGAGGATCGTTGTGAATTTGAGACCAGCCTGGCTACAAAGTTAGCTCAAGGCCAGCATGTACTGCATTGTAAGACCCTGTCTCAAATGGACAAAAATGAAAGAAAGACAAACGGCTTGCCAGTTAGCTCAGTTGTTTAAGCGCCTGTCTGGGCAAACCCAGCTCCACATGCCACACCACACCCGCCATTAAGGCAGCCTGAGCCAGGCAAGAAAGAAAAGAAAAGAACGAACGAACAGACAGACATTTGAACCAAGCCTTACACAAGTTAACTTCAAAAAGCCCCATCTGCTTGCTTATTAAGAACAGGTACAAGATCTCCTTTACAGAGTAATTAGAAAGAACTGAAATACCAAGAAGATGGCTGTTGGAAGCCCATTAATACCATTTTTCACTGCACACCCCTACACAACCTGGGTAGGATGCAATGTCACTTCTTGTTCATGTCAATGAAGAAAGGGCGTTAAGAGGTGCATAAAGCTCCATACTGGCAAGGTTTGGATGCAGAGCTAACCACTACAGGACTTCCGTGGGGGTGCGGCTGGGTAAGGGGTCTGGACAGGTGTGTGGTCAGCTAAGCAGTACAACAGAGAAGGCATTTGCTTTTTTGAGATGCAGAGACCTCTCACTAACCAGGAAACATTTGTGAAGAGGAGCCCGGAGTGCTGGATACTCAGTACCCCTTTAATTTGCATACGAGGGCTCACTGTTTTAGAAAAACCCCAATTTCCCACCAGCACCATCAGGCCACACCCTATTAACAACAATTCCACTTTACATCTACACCGCATCACATCAGTTTACACACACACCTCTAAATATAGGCATGATCTGGTCTCTCTAGCGGGGGAGGGCAACAACTGTTGAGAGGTGGGAAATTTTCCACTGCCAACACTAGTGGGTGTAGGACTAGAAATCTAGGCCTTTGGATGAGAAACATTCAGACTAAGAAAGAGGTCAGCACAGAATTACCTCAACAAACAACTTTTGTAAAACACTAACATAGGAGGTACTGATACATGAAACGGTATGGTGGCACCCTCTAATCCTGGAAGGTAGGCTGAGGCAGGAGATTTCTGAACCCAGTCTGGGCAATTTAGTTACTTAACAAGACTTCGAATCAAAACAAAACAAAACAAAAAATTATAAAGGACTGGAATGTAGCTCAGTGTGAAGGCCTGGGTTCGACCCCCCAACATCACACAAACACACACATCCCAAGAATTAAAAAAAAAAACAAAAAAAACTGGAGGCAAACACGCAAAAACACTCGAATATTTCTTCTCTCTACCTCCACACGGTCCGACAGGAAGCAGGAAGAGGACGAGAATTCCGTGACAGAGCAGCCGCGGAGCGCAGCGCGGCGGCCACATTACCTCACTGCCGCTGCACAGCTCTACGACACACCGTTACGGTCCCCCCCCCCGGGAACAGGGGCAGGCCGCGGCCCGGGGGATAGAGACTTCCCAGAGCGCGCGCGCGGGAGGCTGCGGGGCACCACGCTGCGGGGTCCCCGCCCTCCGCGCCTCGGCTACCCGCACGCTCCGGGGTGGGCGTCCGGAATCTCCTCCTTCCGGGCACGGCCACCCCTACCCAGGGCCCCGCTTCGTCCTGTGTCCTGCCCTCCCGGGACCCCGCAGCCCGCGCTCCCCAGGCCCCTCTTCGCTGCCGGCCGACGCCAGGTCTGGCTTCGCCGGCCAGAGAGGAAAACCAGAGCCGCAGAGTTGCGCCGCCAAGCTCCGGCGGGCGCCGGCGCGGGGAAGCGGCTCGAGTGGGTCCCCGGGGGCGGTCAGACGCCACTCACGCGTCGAATTTGTTGTTCATCCTCTCGCCGCCACTGTCGCCACTGCCTCACGGAGTAACTTCCGCTCTGCTGGGTCCGTCGGCCCAGGGCCCGAACACTTCCGGTTGCGCGGGGCGCAGCGGAACGTCAACGCTCAGGCCCGGGGCGGGGCGGTTTTCCAGGACACCGAACCGCGGCGACTGCGCAAAGATGCAGGATCTGCAAAGGTGCTGTAAAGCGTCCTCCGAGGCGCGGGCTCTGCCTGCGCTCCTGGGTTCGAATGCAGACTCCACCTCCACTGCGTGCGCGCGCCTTCCGCATCTCCGAACCTGGGAACCGGGTCCCCCCGTCGCTGTTCTACTTCGGTCCCCACCTCTCTAGGCTGCTGGCGGATCCTAGGGTCACTGTCAGGCCGAAGAAACAGTAACCCTCAGCTAGAGCTCACCTTCGAGTGCTTTCAGTGTGCCAAGAGCTACAGAGCTCAGAGGTGGACAGAATCACACCAAAGTGACAAAACCAGTAAGAGGTTCACAGGAATCGAAGATGGCCCCACTGCCATCATATTGACCCTTGGGTAGAGGCTGGCCACCCCCTCCCCGACCCCAGGGCCCTGTGGCTCCAGACACACACGCAGGAGAAAATGCAGTGAACCCGTGTACTTGGAGGAAGGACGCGTTTCCCTCTCCCCTTCCCAGCATGTGCCATGATCAGGGCTTTATGTGGTACTTGTGCATTTTCCATCGCACTGACTCCCACCTACTTTGGGCCCGTCAGTGAAGGTGGGTGAAAACGACGGGGCCGGGAGACGGCTCGAGAAGTGTAAGTGACTGCTATGCTGTTTGTGCCCTAGTCACCAACAAATCCTGGGCCTCCAGTGCTCAGAGCAGGACCCCTTTGCTCCGGAAGTGAGCAGTTCAGCTGCTCGTGTATGCATTTGCTGGATGGGGCCAAGCTAAGGCAATAAAGTCTCCTCAGGAAGGCAGAGCCCAGTGCTTCTTGTGCCTCCAGGCTTCCCTGCTTACCCCTCTTTGTTTTAACCATCCTTGGGGACTGGTGCAGATACCCCAGCTTCCAAGAAAACAGAGAAGGGCCCGTGTTTCAGGCCGTAGAATCTTTGTTAAGAGTTGCTGACTGAGGGCTGGCCAGATAGCTCAGCTGACCAAAGCTCCTGCTTATGCAGAGTGCAGCGGCTGGGGTTTGATCTCTGGGGTACTGTGCTGGCCTATCCCTGGGGCACGCTGCGATGGTGACTGGGACTGGGTGTGGTGGCGCAAGACTGTAATCCCAGTGCTTGGGAGGCTGAAAACGAGAATTACTAGGTGTCGGTTCTACATAGTGAGACCCTGTAGACCCTGTACCGAATACATTAATAATTTAAAAAAAAAGAGTGGCTGCCTGTACCAAATACATACCTGCCTGGCAAGTGTACCTTCCTGAGTTCAATCCCCAGTACCAAAAAAAAAAAAAAA